TTCTTGAGAGGCGGCCACTTATTATTGTGCTTCAGAACAGATTTTAATAACTTAAGAGTTAAATCTTGACTTAATTCTCTGATTCTAATCTCAAAACAAGGGCACTTATTAGTACACTTCAGAACAGATTTTGACACCGTGGATGTTGGTTTATAGCTCCAAGAGAGAGAGGGAATTGCACCATTCTGCATTACCACGAGTTTTTTTACACAGTGGCTAAAACACAGCACACAGGTAGGTTTTAATAACACCTGCCATGCTGACATTAATGGGAACTATGAGCATAAACCCACAGAGACAGGAAAAACAGTGCTGAACCCATAAATTAGAACAAAGTGGTAAGTAGGAGAAATCTCCAAAGCACTGTTAAATGGCTGTTTACTGACTGGAGCCCCTCAGTGAAATGATCTGCTTCAACGGGTCACTAAATTACCAAAAATGGGGTGTGGGTTAAAGCTGAATATCTTAACACCATTGTTAACATCAAAGAGTTTTCATTTTGCCAGAAAAGAACCCTCAGCACCTGCAGAATGACGTCAAAACAAATTAAGTGGTTGCCACTATACTGTCATTAACCAAATTCTAGGCCTTTCTGCTGTATAAAAACTTGACAGACCAATTTTTGTTGGAGAAAACATTTTCTCCGCTCTAAGTACTTCACTTTAATGAATGACAGTTTCTGCTCAGAGTATCCAAAAGGTACATGGATAGAGGTGCTGAAGTGTAACTATGGAGGTGAATTTTCTCCTAGATACTCACCTTTTCAAATTGTGTTGAAAACCTAGAAATGGAAGAAAAAGCACCCTGAAAACCCCTAACCTCATGTCTGCAAAGTTTTGGCGCTTGAAAATGCTTTGCAAGTTGAGAGTAACACAAAATCCTACTGAATGCTATTAAAAAGATGAAGCTTTTAGATAGCCCTAGAACCAGGAGAATAGAAAGGAATTTAAGCCAAGAAACCAAACCAAATTAGGACCTCACGACATGCTCCCGAGAATATAGCAAGCTTAAATTGATTTTTGTCTTATTTCTTATTCTAACCTGTGTAACTTTGTTTTAGGACCCGATAAATAATTTTCAAAGGATGCTTAACCACCTCTGAAAAGTACCCTTGTGGAATACATGCTGCCAAATAAGATACACAACATGAGGAAAATACCAAGTTTTTATAAACTTTGGTTTACAAACACAAGATATGAAAATGCTTGATATGGGATCACGCAGTATTACTTAATTGAAGATAATTGCCAAAATCCTACACCATGAATTCTAGTCATTCATGAACTCAGCACATTTGCTTCTTCAAGAGTTCTCTATCTGACTAATTAACAGAGCTGGGAGAAAAAACTTTAAACAACTTCCTGGGGATTAAAACAAGCCATAGAGACACCAGATAAAGGCTATTTTTCTTTTGAACGTATCAGAATGACTTCATCCTGCATTGTCAGGGTGGGTGTTCAAGCACATTTCCCTCTCAAATTGAGGAATTCACCCAGAATGAGGCTGATTTTGGTTCTAATGCTATGGCCAAGTAAATATTTTCTTTTTCATTATTGCTATTTCTGCTTTAGGTGAAGATCAGGTGTCAAAATACTACAATACCAAGTGAGAAGCTGTTGTATTATACTCAGAAGTGATTAATGCAAGGAAGTGTTTAAAATCTCTTACTGGATTTCCCCAAATGAGGAATATTTTCTCTGTTAAAGACCATGAGAAACCACACTAGCAATAAGACACTAACATTTTTATCCCTTTTATCTCTTGCTAACACATACAGATTTAGAAAGTCATATAAAGCTGAATATCAGAAGCTATGATGGAATGTTCCATTCTGCTGAAACAACAGCAAAAAGAGATCAAAGCTTTAGAGTCCAGTGAGAGGAAAGCTGCAGGAAGTTCAGCAGCAACCATATAGTTATTTTTAGTCCCTGTGTTTCACTAGTTCCTTCCTGATCCCTTTCTGTTCTCACACCTACGCAGAGGAGATGGTATCCCATATCCTGGAGCAAATGTTGTAATGAATGAGTTACTAGTTCACCCTTAAAACTATGCTCTCACGCAAGCACATATGTCATTCATTTCTATGCTGCTCTCCTGAGACCAACAGAAAAATTCCAATGTCAATGGCAAGAGAGACGTATGACAGATTTCCATGAAAAATATCATCCTCCTCTGCTCTCCAAGTTTAGAATGTATTCATGTGAAGCAGGGGCACTCAGCAAGAGTAGTATTCTTCATTTTCTATAATTGATTAGCATCGTCTTAGGGAGTCTGGTACCTGACCAATTGGACTGTCTTCTTCATAGACATAGCGTAAAAATCTACCCTCCCAATCTAGTACTGTTGTACTGCAGTATTTTCTCAGGTTTCCATTTTTAATTGTAATGGCTGTAGCTTAATTCCTAATACTAGTTTCCCCCCATGAGCCTTTTTAGGGCTTCTTGTCCTTGGTCAGACATTTCACTGGCTAAACCCTGCATCGCAGGTCTGAAAATTTTTGCAGTTCTTACCTGCTCTTGCCTCCTTAAGTAGCTGCTGATTACATTCATCTCTAAATATAACTCCAGGGAGAAATGAAGCTGTTTCAAAGGAATTAAATCTGAGGAGCCTTCAGTCTTTTGAAGTTGAGATGCTCAGTTTCCAATCAGAGCATAACATTAGCTGGAAACTGCTTTCTAGCCTTATTGTGTACAGGAAGCTATTGGCACCACCAGAACAGCACAAAATATTACCCTTACATTGGGAACCTGTTTGACATGCCATTTTCTTTGCTGATATTTAAAGTACTGCCCAATTTTCTGCTAAATGTTAATCTCAAGGTGATTAAAGCCAAGGAAAAGGAGAGGAGGGAAAGTAGAAATTTATGTACAAACCCTAAACGTGGTTGTAGACTATCTACTCTTTCTGCTGCTCGTCAGCTTGAGTTTCCATCATATTTTCTGAGTTGGAGGAATTTTGACAGGTTTATGTGTGACACCAGGTTACCCTGCAAAATGGAAAGCCTGTAATTAGATGCTGTGCCATCAGGTACCTCCCACTGACAACCTTAAATCTGCCATCAGGAAAACACCCTCAGGGAGGCCAGTGCCTCTACAGGCCACTCACCTGTCACCTGTGGGATGTACCTGAACACAGCTACCTCTGTAAAGGACCTGCCCCCAAATCCATGGGATGGCTACAGACAAAGCAAATATTTGTCCTCCCACACTGCTGCAACACTGAACTTGGGAAAAGCATTTTCTCCAGCAGCAAAAAGCAAGCAGAAGAACCTGATCCAAATCTACCACCTTCAAAGCCACCAGCAGGACCCCTCCTGCACTGCACGAGGGGACAGCTACACCTTTTACACTTCAGTGGGTTACAGGATGTTTTTAATGGCTTTGAAAAGAGCTTAGTCAAAAGCTGGGTTATTATTTGAATGAACCACACCTAACCTGTTTGTGCTGCTGTGCCTACCATCAGGTAGCTGCTGGTTTTCATTTGAAAAAAAAGCAGTACCTGAAAGAGCTGAAACTATCCAAACTGAAAGGCAGGCATAACAATAAAACACAGTGAAGCTTAAGGAGCATGAGACAGGATGGACTGCGCTGAAGAAATTCGTTGAAAATTTTTTCCATCTGAAGTCATTAAAACATTTTGTTATTTCTTAAATGTCATCTACAAAAGAAGATGCCTTACATAAGAGAGAGGTATTGCTAAATACCCAAACACGTGCACCAGCCACGTGACTGCCATAAAACTTCAAAGGTGGCTGCCTAACTAAAACGCTGATGTTTTTAATAATGTATTTCTTGGAACTGCTTTTCATGTGCTCAGATATACATAGATGTTTACTTCTCAGATAACAGTGTGCAAAAGAAGAAGACAAGCCTATTCCATGAGCATCATGTGCACATCACTGTTGGATACAGTAGTGAGCAAGGAAAAAACACTCTCAGAGGGACAGGAAGGGATTTGCATTTGTAGATCCCAGTTAAAGGTGAGGCACCATAGTTGTCCTAAGTTTCTTGGACAAGTGTTGATCACTTTAGCAAGAGGGAAGAGAACCTAAACCATAAAGTCTCCAGAAATTAAGCATTTCTTTGGGTTTTCAGAGCTGTTTCACAGGACTAATTTCTTCTACATCTTTCTTAATTGTAATAGGTGCCTTCTTAATCATAACAGAAAACAGTTGGTACAACGTTGCAGCCATGGTTTGGGTTTGAGTATCTAACTACACTTCATTTTATGGTGTTCAGCTGTTCAGACCCCATAGATCAGTTGCTTTAACTGTGGTATCTCATGCAATATTACCTTGCAACATCACAGAATCTGCTTTAGAGAACACTAAAATCCTTGGAGATGCAGGCTGACTGTTAAAGTCATACATATATGTAAAATAATTACGGTAAATATGTTATTTTTATTATAGAGGAAAGGCAGAATTTTAAGAAACAAGTACCCAAATTCTTTGAAGATAAGCTGACCATTTGAGTCTTTGGATATTTCAATATCCAATACATAAACACAGAAATTAAATAGCAACACAATTTGAAGGTGACCATTGAGACTAACAAACATCTATGCTTAAGTTTATAACTTTCACTCCTTTGCTGAAATATCTTACGACCAAAAAAGTATAAAGGAAATAAAGTCACTAGTTTTAGTCTAATCTTCCCTTAGAACTCAATCTATGAAACATCCTTTGTCATAGTTATTACAAGGGTCAATTTGGCAGCTTCCATTCTCTCCCAGCAATAAACTAGGTAGGGCATTGGATTACCAAGACCTGCCAAGAAGTTTTGCCAAAGTGTGAGAAGCAACACAAATGATTACCAGTTACCAACCTTGTGGGGCACTTGGCAGCTGGAACCCATGACCTCTATTTTGCAAAAGCCTGAGCCACAGGAGAGTGACAGGAATGCAGAGACCATGAAAATCTGGGTATGGACAAGTCTGAGACGGGGAAATTCAAGAGGAGGGAAAACGACAAAAATAATTGAATGCTTTGTCTGTCATAGGAAACTCTACCCCGATGTCTAGAATGGCCTGTCACTTGATTAAGAGCTTAGGAGACTGCACAGAGCTGGCTGAAGTTTGTTGTCATCCAACACAGAAATCCTGGTGTCCCCTGAAAACAGAATTTGAAGGCTTTCCCATTTTAAAACAAACACCTACACAACTTGGATTTTTGAGGTTAGTAGTTTTCAGTGAAAAATCTGAAAAAAACCCAGACTTGCAAAAAATGTGAAAACCATTTTTTGCAGTATGTGGATCTTGCAGAATATTTTTTTAGTGCAGCTGCATAGGAAAAAGAGTATCCTAGCAGTGTGCCCATATGGTTTCTTAAGAGCATTCCTGTTCTTTGGCTCAGTCACCACTGATGCATTTCATTGCAGCACGAAGGCTGGAATAAAACCCCTGGGAATGTGCCAAGGTTAACGTGCAGCGAGCTGAGGGAAGGTTCACACTGCTGGGATGAGGTATTGATATAGGACATCTAGGAAAATTCACTTTATCCTGCCCTATCAGGGGAGAGGACTCCACACTTTGCTCCCGCATCTTTGGCCCATACTTAGTTCTGGCAGGTTATCTTCTGCTTTTTGCCCTTTGGGCAGAATCATTCTGCTGTCAAAAGACGCTTGCAGCATGTAGCTTTTTTATTCTAACACCTCTTTGTGGAGTTACTGCTCCCATGCCATTTGAGGGGGGGAATAGTCCCCCAAAATACCTACCAAAAAAACCCCCACCAAACCAACAAAACACAACTGCTTTGCTAGGGTTTTTTTTGTTTGTTTTGTTTTGTTTTTTTTTCCTGAACTTGAATTCCAGCCTAGGGACATCACAGTAGTTTTTAAGATTCCTCTTGATTAAGAATCACAAATCCAGTGATTGACTTAGGGTTTTCACTTTGATGGCTTTTATTAACACCTGATATAAACCCCCACAATACTCATGCTTCGAGATGACTGCCGTGCCAAAGGAATGGAAAAGGTAGATGGTGCTGGATTCCCTTAAGGACACAGTTTCTTCGTTTTATTACCCTGGCAGTGAGTAAGTTTACCTCAAAAAAAGTACTTCTGTGCCACCTAGTGGCGGCATAGTTTAGTGACATAATTATTTAACACTTCATTGCCAAACCACCAAGTTCAAATGCAGTCCGAGGTGTTACGGAATTTTCTTATCGTTTGTGTTTCAGTGTGTCCAGGTCAGGACAGGAGCATCAGCCAGGTGGGACCTCAGCCTGCCAAGCTCTGTGTACTGCCCCAGTCTCCACAAAGCACTGCAGAACCGGCATCAGCTCAGTCAGAAACCATCTCTGACAAGGTTTTTCATCAAAAACCTAGCAAATTCTAGCCTTTGCTGGTGAGAAAAACCTCTTTACTCCTTTTCCTCTCACACTGTTCAGGTGAGTCCCGGTGCCTCAGGTACAGTCTTCTCCAGGTACTTCGGTGAAACGTGCAGGGGGGGCTGCAGGTTTTCCATGCTTCTCTTCCAAAATTCATTTCCAAAAATGAATTTGTCAGTTGTTCTGGAATACTCTATGCAGCCAGAAGACACTGTCCTGCCCTTATGAGAGCCTGTCCAAGGGAAGGGTTAATAAACCAGTCCAAATATTACCGAATTCTAGCAAGAGCCCTCTCTTGAGTGCACTGTTGGGTCTTTTTAAAGGTGCAGTGTGAAAAATTACTCCCAATGAACAAATGCCATATTTCACTTGAAACCTGCGTTCGCTTGCTTTTAGTGAGAACAGTGAACTCTCCCTGACATGGCAAGGTTTACTGGTTTCCATGAAACCTCTGCCAGCCAGACTTGGTCATGACTTGGTGTTGCCTTCTCGAGTACTGCAGCAGCCCTGCAACAGCCATCCAGAATGTGATGTAGTTTTACTCCTGCAGCTTGTGCAAGGAAACAGTGCCTTTAAGCCAACTAGGAGAGTTGAAGTGAAAATAACCTAGTCTGGAGCTGTGAAATGTGAAAAGCATTAAGGCACTACCTCGAAATGTGCAACTCCTGTCCCTGTCCCCAGTGACCAGACCCCACTAGATGGCAATCCCCGCCTTGGCTCTGTCCCTGCAGCTCTGGAAGTTGTGTTACCTGGCTGGTTTAAAAATTAAGAGGCCCAGAGTCTTAATATATGTATCTTTCTTTTTTTTTGTCTCCTTTTTCTTTTCTCCCTGATTGTTTAGCTTTTTAAATATGTAGAAACTCTTTTTTTTCCCCCCTTTAAATGAGCTGGGCTTTTTGTAGTGTAAGGTTTAAGTAGAGCTTAAAATTTTCTGGTATAATACACATTGCTTTACAGAATAAATAAAACCCCTGTGTATTTTGAACCCAGGCAGTACCAATAATGCACACATTTTGTAACTTAGTTGTTGGCTTCAGGCTTACAGAAGAGGGAATCAGTCAAACATCAGTACTTATACTGCAGAAAAATATCTTTGAGTCTTTCACTACTAGTCAAAAACTTGGTCACTGACTGCTAAAAAATGCACAAAAATATATTCCAATGCATACTTCAGAACTTTAATCCCTTACAAGTTCCACTTCAGGCTTCTTTGTGCTCTCCATCATCTTCTCTCCAGCACTGGCACAGGTTGCCCAGAGCAGTTATGGATGCCCCATCTCTGGAAGTGTTCAAGGCCAGGTTGGATGGGGCTTGGAGCAACCTGCTCTAGTGGAAGGTGTCCCTGCCCATGGCAAGGGGTAGAACAAGATGATCTTTAAGGTCCCTAACAACCCAAACTACTCTGTAATTCTATGAAACACAGAGCCAAACAAGTTCAGCCTTTCTTCAAAAACAGCTTTGTGCTGCTCCAGTCATATCCTGGATCCAAGCACAATCTAAACTGCATTTAAACCAGTGTTGCTGCAGTTCCATCCTGCTGGAACCAATGTTCTAACATGTAATAAGTTCCATTTGAATGAAAATGAGCTGTTACAGTAAACTCGCTTCCCACTTCCAAAAGCAAAATTTCCTCTAATTTCATTTTAAAGAGCAAATCCTTCTCTCCCCAGCTGAGTACAAACAAACATCTGGAACTGCTGCACTTTAGGTTTTGTTTATGTATTTAATGGATGGCCAGAGGCTTAGAAACTGCCAAATAATTCTAGTCTTAGGAATTTATATTAACTAATTTCTGTGGGATTCAGGATACATCTGCCAAGTTTCAGATACAAGCAAAGCTCTTGCAATTGAGTCTCAACAGACATGCATCCCTAAGTAATCTTCATCCACAAGTATTATTGTACTACGTGAAGCTGTAACATTTAACCCTGTGTGAATTATACTGAGTAGGAACTGGCAAACAGCTTAAACCACCCTGTTCGTCCCAGAGTTGTGTTTGAGGGGAAGATGTGGAAGTGACCACAATGTGTTTTTACTCTTCGGTGACTAATTTTACAGATAACTAAACCTCCATCTGAGTATTCACAGGGGCAACTCCTATCACACTGTCACTGCCAAAAATCAGTTTACTTGGTCAGGTCTTTAAAACTCTTGATCTCTGCAGAGATGGATTTCCAAACCTGTATTTGAGTAACAAAGACAAGATCCATATAAATGCAGTTGAGATGATCAGGAGATCCCAAAAGATGCAAGGCTCCTAAGGAACAGAAAAAAAGATAACACATTACAGAAGCACCTTACCAACACGGGACACAAAGTTATTAAGTTTAAAAACCCTGCATTTGAGTGTAATCCTCTTCATTGCCATATATAGCTCTGACCTCACATGACAACTGACCTGACTGTGCTCCTCCAGCCTCTTCTGTTCATCTCTGCTTTACATCCAGTCCCTCTGATGCTGCAAAGAAATGAGTTACCAAAGTCAACCCCATAGACAGGGAGACCTTAACTGCTGCCCAATTGTCACTTCTCTTTAGACAAGCCCTCTGGGGTCCAAAGAAAACCTGCACAAACAGACACTGCCCTAACTTTAAGGCCCTGCCCTCAGTGGCTGAGCCTATCACAGGGTAACTGCAAAGTCTCCTTTCTACTCCACCTACCCCCAACTCTACACTGCAGGGCAGAGCAGTTCCAGGCCCAACACAAACTCCAAGGACACGTTTCCAGACAAGTGCTGTGGTGCAACCAGAAGAGAGAACTCTGAGAAAGCAACGACGCCAAAATGGATGTGCTGCCGCACGAGAAGACGGAGGATACGGCGAGACTGAACGGAGGAGGCTCTGAGGAGCCTGAAAAGACACTCTAACAGAATAGCCTGGGACAAGAACTGCCTGCAAAAGGGCTAAGATGGATGGGAGACAATGCTGTGTTCAGAATCTTCTTAGATCTTCTCAAGTCCCAGGTGGGATGACAAGGGAGGACTGCACGGCACGGCCACCGATACAACCTGTAAGGAGGCTGTAAAAGACACCTGACCTGACACTTCTCAGATGCGATTCCGATGCACGTCCAAGCTAGAGAGCCAAAGAATGGATGGTATGGGCACTGGGCTGGGCAGTGCAGAGGTTCAAGATCTTAGGAATGATGCCTTGACATCTCAGATAAGAACTTTGAGGGCAGAAAGCAAATATGTGGTGATTGTGAATTTTAAGACACGGAACACAGACTGGACAAAGGACACGACACAGACCTGAACTGCTCTGCCCTGCACATCCTACTCCAGTGATGAAAAGTAAACTGCTCCTCCTGTGTGTGCCAAGGAGGAGCAGACCCTTTCCCCTGTGGGTCCCCCTTAGGGCAGACCCTTTCCCCTGTGCTCATTTGAAAATCCCTCCCTCCTAACCATGAAACTGGACCCAGCTCTCATCCCCTCTCCAGGTGATAGTCCTCCACTTATCTTTCCCACAGCTGGGGATGTGAATCCATCTTCGATGCCAAGGAAGGCCGCCCAGCTGGCTCAGAGGGTCCTGTGATCCCTGCAACTGGAAAAGTTCCAGCCTTTTTTTTGTTACCGTTACTCAATTTATAGCTGCGGTATAAATTAAGTACCATAATCAAAAGAGTGCAGAGTGTGAGTAATTAATTAATTAATTAATAATAATTAAGCACAAGCTGGCTTGTTCCCAACGTTAGACAAACAAATACCTTGCTCTTTAAAAACACAAAAGTCTCTGAGCAGTTTTTCGGACCGGGTCTTTCTGCATCACAGCCCAACTATTACTAAACACTGCTACAGTAACTCCTAAACCGTCACCCAGCGCCAGATCCAGACACCGCTTGAACATCTGCGGGAACGGTGACTCCATCACCTCCCTGGGCAGCCTATTTCAATGCGGGACCACCCAATTTTTTCTTAACCTCTAATCCGAATCTCCTCACTCTCATTGTAAGGCTATTTTCCCTGGTCCTCACCGCAGGACAGCGGCTCTTTCCCGGTTCAAACCTCGGCACAGCCACCGAACCGGGCGCGGGTCCGTGGAAGCACTTCCTAATTCCCGTTATTACCTAACTCCACATCCCCTGTCGCGAAGCGCCCTGGGAGGGTCCCGGCAGCCCCGGGGGCTCAGCCCAACACCCCGGCAGCCCCGGGGGCTCCCTCCGGGCTCCCCCGCACCTTGTGCCAGTACCGCCAGGATCCCCCTTATCCCGCAGGTAGGACTCGGTCGCCCCGACACCCGCCGGCCCGACACATCCGCCGCCCGACACCCGCCGCCCCGACACACCCGCCGCCCCGAACCCGCGCCCCGACACGCGCCGCCCCGACACCCGGCCGCCCCGACAACCACGCCGGCACGGCACCCCGCCCGCCCCGACACCCGCCGCCCCGACACCCGCCGCCCGACACCGCCGCCGCCCCGACACCCGCCGCCCCGACACCCGCCGCTCCAGCCCCCCTCGAGCCACTCCAGCCCCGCCGGTTCAGCCCACCTCGCCCCAGCCCGCATCCTCATCCCATACTAACTCTAAACCCAATACTACCTACACTACCTGCTCTTATTAAGAGTCCTTGTCATCATCCGGCCCTTCGCCCATCGTGATTTTAAGTCGGAGATGCTACTCAGGTGCTGCTGCTCCCAGAGCTTTTATACCGTCTGGGATTGGGCTAGTCCTTTTCCCCCGGGGCTTCACGGGAAGGGAGGTGGGCACGGCCAGGGGTATTTTAACCCCAGCCTTTGCTCAGGGAGGTTATTCAGCAGCCGGGCTTCAATGGGATAGGAGCTTTCCCTTTTCTTCATTGAATGGGACTGGGTTACAGCCCAGAGATGGAGGGAGGGCTGGGGTGCCAGCTTTGGAATTGCCAGGGGTGTTTTGAAGGGAGTATGGGTGGAAAGCAGTGTCCAGGAGCCCCCTAAATGCCTGTGAAGGCACCCACTGACTTGTCAGATGTGCCACTTAAGTTTCCCTCCCATTCAGCCAGATAGTACATGCAATTACAGGTGCAGTCTTTGGCTGCAGGCAGTGACCCTGGGTGGTTTGCTAAAGAGAAGGGAGACTCTTGGAGCTCTCCTCATCCATCTGGGTGACTTTGTGGTTCGGGTTTCTTTACCATGCCAGAGGGACAGGGTGTAAAGCAGAGTTGAACAGAACAGAGGCCAGAGGAGCAGAGCAAGAAGGAGGGTCATGACCTGATGTCAGCGCAAAGACGTGGCTTTTGGCTGCACGTTTACTCGCTGTGTTAGGGGTTCTGTTGGTTTGGGTTGTTTTTTCTTTGTTTTTAGATGGCCCTAGGAGGCTCTAGGCACCAGAGGGGAGGTGATCTGGGTGAGTCCCGGTGAGCAAGGTGAGCATGGACTCCAGGACAGGACTAGATGGTCTTTTACAGGTGTTGTGGTGAATCTGTGCACATGCTTTGTTTGTTGTGTTTTCCAGGGGTTCTGCCACCTTCTAACAGACAGTCCAAGGCTTCAGGGCCCCTGCTGGAAAGAGGTCACTGTGGAGGAGAGGTAGGTAGGGGCTACCCCAGGAAAGCCATCCTTTCAGGCAGTATCTCAGTGTGTACATTTGCCTTTGGCTTTTTTACTTTGCAGAGAATGTGTGCAGCCTCAGAGGGCCACAGCCACCTGCCAGTTAGGTTTGATGGTCTTCAGCTGTCCTTGTGAGTAATCTCCTAATACTACGAGGGTCATCAATTAAGGCTGGACCTTTTCCAGTTGCAGGTGCCATCCAACCTGTGTTTGGCAAAGGAGGAGCATTGAGGTTGAGTCAGGGAGGTAGTGAGGAGGTGCTGGGGTCTCCCTTACTTTCAACACTTTTTTTCTCACTCCCCTAGGTACGGCACACGGTGATGGCAGCAGCCTCCGACTGGGGTCGGAGCCAGTGGCCCGAGAAACTCTCAGGGGATGGTGAGTAGCCAATTGCGGGGTTATCTCCCACGTGCTGCTGAACTCTTGTCTCAATTCCAGTTTTCTTTCTCGTAGCCGACCGAGTCAGGGATCACAGGACCCTCTGAGCCAGCCAGGTGTCCTTCCTTTACATGGAAGATGGATTCACATCCCCAGCTGTGGGAAAGATAAGTGGAGGACTATCACCTGGAGAGGGGATGAGAGCTGGGTCCAGTTTTATGGTTAGGAGGGAGGGATTTTCAAATGAGCACAGGGGAAAGGGTCTGCCCTAAGAGGCCCTTGGCACACATAGGAGGAGCAGTTTACTTTTCATCACTGGAGTAGGATGTGCAGGGCAGAGCAGTTCAGGTCTGTGTCGTGTCCTTTGTCCAGTCTGTGTTTCGTATCTTTCAATTCACAGTCACCTTACCTTTGTTTTCTACCCTCAAAGTTCTTATCTGAGATGTTAAGGCATCATTCCTAAGATCTTGAACCTCTACACTGCCCAGCCCAGTGCCCATACCATCCATTCTTTGGCTCTCTAGCTTGGACGTGCATCGGAATCGCATCTGAGAAGTGTCAGGTCAGGTGTCTTTTACAGCCTCCTTACAGGTTGTATCGGTGGCTGTGCCGTGCAGTCCTCCCTTGTCATCCCACCTGGGACTTGTGAGAATCTAAGAAGATTCTGAACATAGCATTGTCTCCCATCCATCTTAGCCCTTTTGTAGGCAGTTCTTGTCCCAGGCTATTCTGTTAGAGTGTCTTTTCAGGCTCCTCAGAGCCTCCTCCGTTCAGTCTCGCCGTATCCTCCGTCTTCTCGTGCGGCAGCACATCCATTTTGGCGTCGTTGCTTTCTCAGAGTTTTCTCTTCTGGTTGCACCACAGCACTTGTCTGGAAACGTGTCCTTGGAGTTTGTGTTGGGCCTGGAACTGCTCTGCCCTGCAGTGTAGAGTTGGGGGTAGGTGGAGTAGAAAGGAGACTTTGCAGTTACCCTGTGATAGGCTCAGCCACTGAGGGCAGGGCCTTAAAGTTAGGGCAGTGTCTGTTTGTGCAGGCTGTCTTTGGACCCCAGAGGGCTTGTCTAAAGAGAAGTGACAATTGGGCAGCAGTTAAGGTCTCCCTGTCTATGTGGCTGACTTTGGTAACTCATTTCTTTGCAGCGTCAGAGGGACTGGATGTAAAGCAGAGATGAACAGAAGAGGCTGGAGGAGCACAGTCAGAAGGTGGGTTCTCGTGTGAGGTCAGAGCCAAGACATGACTTTTGGCCCTAGGTTTATTGATCATTTGGATGGTTTGGTGGTTTAGTTTTGGTTTTTTGTTTTTTTTTTTTTTAAGATGCAGAGCCCTCGGCCCAGCAGATGATAGGCACCAGAGGGAGGGTGAGCCCGGTGAGGAAGGTGAGCAGGGACTGCAGGACAAAATTAGATGCTTTTTTGCAGGCGGTGTGCTTGTGGTGAATCTCTGTACATACTTGTTTTTTTGTTTTCCAGGCAGTGCACCGACTTCTGACGTGCAGTCCAACGTGATGGGGACCCTGCCTGTAAGAGGTCACGGTCAAGGGGTGTCAGACAGAAACTGCCATGGGGGCAGCAAACTCTTGGGCAGTATCTCAGTACTCACATTTGCCTCTGGGTTTTTTTTGCAGGAGATGTAGACAGCCTGACATGGCCGAAGGCAACTCACAGTGAGGTGACAGACACTGTTTGGTCCTCTGGAGCTCTCCTTGTAGGTAATCTCCGAGTATTGAAAAGATCAGCAGCGAAGGATTGAGTTTTTTTGATTGCAGGTACCATCCTTGTAACCTTTGGGAGCAGATGAGCATTGGAGGTGAGTCGGGGAGGCAGCAGGAGGAGCAGGGATCCCCTGCAGCTTTAGAGATGCCCTCAAATTTTGTCTCTCGCTCAGGTATCCCAGAAGATGACAGCACATTGTCCAAGTCTGGTCATAGGCTGACACGAGGACCTGCCTGGGTGACAGTGAGTAGAGGGATCATGGGGGCTGGACCCACGTGCCACACTACTGAGATACGGTGTCTGGTTTTCTTTCTCACAGTTGACTGCCAGTAGTCTGACGATGGCAGGAATCTCTGAGCCAGCCCAGGTGCCCCTCCTGTGCATCAAAGATGGATTGGCATCCCCAGCTCTCGGAAAGATAAGTGCAGGGCAAAGCCCCAGAGAGGGGCTGGGAGTGGGTGCAAGTCTGTGCCTCGCCTGGAGGGATTTTTGAAATGAGTCCGGTGCAAGGGGTATCCTGTGAGAGGTTATTTGGACGCATCAAAGGAAGGGCTTACTTTTTGTCATTGGATTCATGTGTGCAGGGCTGAGCAGTTCCAGTGTCTGTCACGTCCTTTTTCTTGTCCCTGTTTTGTGTCCTTCATCTCTTAATTGTGTCACATGGTGTGTGTTGTCACAGGTGTGGGGTGTCTCACTTGGGGTCAGCCTGGAACTGCTCTGCCCTGCTCCATGGGTCAGTGGGTAGATAGAATATTGCTCAGAGTGTCACATCAGCACATCAGTGCCCTCAGACAGTCGAGCTGATGGCTGTACGGTCCTGCCGGATGGAGCAGGTGTCCATAACTCGTGTGCAATCATTATAGCTGAGTGTTGTGGAGCTGATGGTACTTGGCTAGCAGGGCCTTGAAGCTGGGTTGTCATTTGTGTTCTTGTATGCTGCAGTCAGAGTTCTCACTGGCTCAGTGGAAATGAGTTCTTTGAAGTGGTTCAGGTCTCAGTGACCATGTGGGTGACGTGACTGATCCTTTGGTTTTTGTTGTTTTTTTTTTCAGATAAGTGGACGCAATTTACCCCTTACCGAGACAAGTTAAAGCAGTCTAGGAAGAAGGTTGTATTAGGTGTTGAACGTGCCGAAGGTCCACCCACTAAGAGGTCCAGCTAAAGGAGCCTGAGATGGCCAGCATGAGGCAGTATGTCAGCACAAGCCTCCGCGTCCGTGTTTTCCTGCAGTGGCCGTCTGTCCACGGTGTGTAGGAACACTTCGGCGTGCAGTCTGATGGGGTTTAGAGGTTTTTGGCTTTCGTTGTGAGCAATTCCTAAATGTTTGAGAGCTGAGTGTTTGAGCATTTGCCCATTTCATTTGCTGGGGTGGTCTTGGGAGCAGCTGAAGAGAGAGGAGCCTTGGAGGTGAGTTGGGGAGGCAGCAGGAGGAGCGGGGATCCCCTGCAGCTTTAGAGATGCCATCTAATTTTGTCTCTGGTCACTCAGGTATCCCAGAAGGTGACAGCCACAGTGTCTGACTCTGGTCAGGGCCTGGGTGCTGGTGAGTAGGGGGATCACTGGGGTTTGAGCCCCGTGCCACACAACTCACATATTGGTTATGGTTTTCTTTCTTGTAGTTGACTCTGAGTAACCTGGTGACTGCAGGAACCACCTCACGATCGGGCAACTGACTCAGTTTGGTCGTCTTGAGCTGTCCTTGTCTGCAATCTCCGAGTTTTAAAAGGATGAGCAGCAAGGCACAGAACTTTAGTGATGGCAGGTGCCATCTGGGTAACTTTTGGAAGCGTCCAGGCGCTGGAGGTGAGTCGGGGAGGCAGCAGGAGGAGCGGGGATTCACTGCAGCTTTAGAAATAACCTCTATTTTTTTTTCTTGCTTTTATTTCTCTTGCTCTCTTCTCCTGATTTTAATTCTCTTAGACTCTTCTCCTGATTTTAATTGTCTAGACCTCTTCTCCTGATATTAGTTCTCTTGAACTCTTCTCCTGATTTTAATTTTTTTAAGGCTCTTCCCTTGATATTAATTCTCTCAGGCTCTTCTCCTGATTTTAATTCTCTCAGGCTCTTATCCTGATTTCAATTCTCTCAGGCTCTTCTCCTGATTTCAATT